CCGATCGCCCCCCCCCCCCCCCGCAGCGCCTGCGCTCCCGCACGGCGCGGAGCACGTCGCGCGAGGCCGCCTTCCACTCGTACTGGGGCGCGGGCGGCCCCTCGGGGCAGTGCAGCCTCTCCCACTCGCGCGCCTGCCGGGGGTGCAGTCGGGGCTCGAGGGGTGCAGTCGGGGCGCTGACCAAAGGAACCCTGAAGCAAGGAACGGGGCCCCCTTTCCCCATAAGTTCAACCTCGATTTCCCATGGAAAACCTCGGGAAAGCCCGAGGCAAACTTTGGAACAATCAAGGAACACCGAGCCCCTCCCCAACGGAAAGGGTTCCTTCTTCAGCGCCCCGACTGTAGAATCGGGGATGCAATCGGGTGGGGGTAGAAGGACGAAGGCTCGATCGGGTGGGGATATGTGGCGGTGCGCACAAGGGGGTGGAGAGAGGGGGAAGGGCTCCTTGGAAGGAGGCTGCTCCTTAGAAGGCGCCGGCCTACATGGATAGATAAGGCCCGCGCCTTCTAAGAAGCAGAAGTGCTGCTAAGAAGTCCTCCCCCTCCCCCCACTCCCCTCTGCGCGTGGCCGAGATACGTCCCGAATCTCTTAGATTTAGCGGTTCCAAAAAATGCCTCGGGCGCCGCGGCCTTCTCAGAGCGTTCCGGAACGCTCAGGGAGCTTTCCGGAAGGGATTTATCCTCGTCCTAGCCCCGCCCAAAGGGGACCTTGCTGCAACAGAGAGAGCTGGAGGGGCGAGGCAGACCCGACGATCTGGACGTTACAACTCTTTCACGCCGGGCAGGTTCGCCCAACTGCAGGACCTGGGGCCATCACAGATCGGCTCGGGAAATACCTTAGAAAGATAGGGTCTAGTGCTCAGGTCGCGATGCCAAATGTTACAGAATGTGTTCGCAACGTCGGATCAAAAGGAGGGAGGAGGGAGGTGGGGGGAGGGAGAGAGACAGAGGAAGGACTTTGCGGTCGTGAACACTCCTGCTCCGCGTGCCGCGGCGGCGGCCCTGGCGACACGCCATGCCTTGCGAGCGAATTAGCGTGTCGCTCCGTTCCGTGGGGATGAAGGCTGGAGAGAGAGAGAGCTTGGGAAATTGGCGCCTGATGACGTGGACGTGGCTAGCGTGCCGGGCCGAAGCGCGGTGGGCGCGAGCCAGCGGCGCGACGCGCCAACCACAATTGCCCTCCTCGCCGCCTCCTGCCCGGTCGGCTGGGAGATCCGGCCCACAGGTGGCCGAGACGTGCCCCGAGGGCCTGCTGAATCCCGTCGAAACCCCTCTGCGGCTTCGATGCCCCGGATGGTCATCTCGCAGTGTGGAGCCGAGAGATCCGACGCCGTGAAAAACTACAGCATCGTGAAAGAAACACGGCCGGAGCCCCCAACCCCATCCTGCTGCTGCATCGTAGAAATCGGATCGATCCGCGTGGGGGACCCCGGGCCCCAAACACCTGCCGAAAACGCCCGGCTCGAACAAATATTGAGACGCCAGGATCTCAGGGCAGGAGGAGGAGGAGGAGGAGGAGGAGGACCTTGATGCATTCTACCGTCGATCGACGGGCCCCTGCTGCTGGGCAGGCCACCGACGCGCGGGTTCCTCGCAGCTCACAGCAGGAGCCCCCCCGCTTCCCCCCCCCTCGGGAGGGGGCCCCCTCGTCGTGGGGGGGGGGCGGGGCAGAGCTTCGCGCGCCCAGCCTCGGTGGGCTCGGGACGCAAGCTCTCCCAGCTGGCTAGGGTGGCTAGGGGGGGCGGGGGAGCAGGGAGGGGGGAAGGAGGGACGAAGGAGGGGGAGACGGGGAGAGGAAGGAGGGATGAGGGAGCTGAGGAGGAGGGGGAGGGAGGAAGGCAGGATGGAGAGGGAGAAGGGATGATTTTTTTTTTTTTTTATGGTCAACCCATGAACAGCCACATGCCTCCGCTGGCGTGGCGAGTGCCAGCGAGAAAAAGACGGACGCGCCACGGTCGGGGCCGTGCCCCCGTGGCGCGACCAGAGCGCGACCAGGGAGCGCAGGAGACCGTGCTCCGCGCTCCCTGGTCGGGGTAGGGGGCGCAGGAGCACGTGCTCCGCGCCAACCCTACCCACCACCCACTCCATGGGTGGCCGCGATTCGGACCCCGGGACCCCGACACGACACGACACGACACGACAGGGGGACGAAACGAACGACGCGACACGAACGACACGACACGAACGAGCGACACGACAGGGACGGGCCGCCGACCCCGCCCCAGGGCGGCGAGTGCTGGGGGGGAACCCAGCACCGCCCTGGGGAAGCACACGGGGCCTGGCGACCCCCCCGGGGGAAGGAAACCGCGCATTGGCGGCGTCCCCCGGGGTGCGGGGGCTTTTCGCCCCTCGGGCCCGGCGCTCCCCGCCTGCGCCAGGGGGACCCTAGGGTCCCGACCCCTCCCCTACGGGAGGGGCCCCCTCGGGGCAGGGAGAAGGGATGAGGAACAGGAGGAGGAGGAGGAGGAGGAGGAGGAGGAGGAAAGAGGGAGGAGGGGGAGAGGAGCTGGAGGAGGAGGAGGAGGAGGAGGAGGAAGAAGAGGAGGAGGGAAGAGGGAGGACGAGGATGGAGGATTCAGTGGATTGGGATGGAGGGGCAGACGGGGGGAGACGAGAGAGGGGGAGGGCCATGGTCCTGGAGGAGCCCTGCGACGAGGGCGAGGGGCGGAGGAGGAGCGGGCGAACGCGGGGGGCAACGTCACGCGAGCGACGATCAACAACGAATATTACGCGAGATGGCATGGCGAGCTTACGCCGCGGCTTACGCGGGCCGCCGGCGCGGCACGCTATATTGGAGCAGGAGGGCTTACGCTCGACCTTACGCGGGCAGCTTACGCGCCATTGTCGGCGCAGACGGCCCCGTTTTTCTGCGTCGGTCCAAATGGGGCCGAGCAAACATGGTGTGAGGATCGCGCCGCCTCGGTGCATCGGGCATGCGGCCAGGTCCTGAGGCCCCCTCTCGGAGGAGAATGATGTCAGAATGCGATTGGATCAAGATGCGTTTCAGGACTTCCAGAACATCGAGTAGCCGTGTGAAGCACATATATCAGAGTGAGGGGGCCGAACGGTCATTCACTGTCCCTGGGTGCGTGGCTGATGTGGAACTCCGCGGTGCGGATTCTTGTTGTTGTTGTTGTTGTTGTTGTTTATTGTTGTTGTTGTTTGTTGTCGTCGTCCCACCCACAACCCGCCCCGCGACCCACCCGCGACCCACCCCGCGACCCACCCCGCGACCCACCCGCGACCCACCCCGCGACCCACCCGCGACCCACCCCGCGACCCACCCCGCGACCCATCCCGCGACCCACCCCGCGACCCAACCCGCGACCCACCCCGCGACCCCCCCGCGGCCCACCCCGCGACCCACCCGCGACCCACCCGCGACCCACCCGCGACCCACCCGCGACCCACCCGCGACCTACCCCGCGACCCACCCGCGACCCACCTTCGACCCAAACCACGTTCAAGGTACAAACCACAATTTTCGGCGCCTGCGGCGGGCTTTTTTGCATTCCTTCCAAGTGGAGAGCCCGCGACACATCCCGTGACCAACTCGCGACCAACCCGCGACCCAAACCACGTTCAGGGTACAAACCACATTTTTCGGCGCCTGCGGCGGGCATATTTTGCATTCGTTTCAGGTGGAGAGCCCGCGGCCCACCCGCGACCACGTTCAGGGTACAAACCACATTTTCGGCGCCTGCGGCGGGCATCCTTTGCATTCGTTCCCTGTGGAGAACCCGCGGCCCACCCGCGACCCAAACCTCGTTCCGTGTACGAACCATTTTTTTTGGCGCTTGCGGCGGGCTGCTTTTGCATTCCTTCCAGGTGGAGGTGGAGAGCCCGCGACCCACCCGCGACCTAAACCACGTTCACTGAACAAACCAATGCCGCACAAGCGCGGCGGCGGATTCTTGCATGCCGTCTGAGCCCGCAAGGACCTCTTCACGCCCCGCACATCCACGCCAGCCCGTCCAGCAACTTTGCCCTGGCGAGTTGCCTTGATCAGAGAAGGCGGGGAGCATAAAGTGGGAAAAAAGATTGCGTTGCAGTTATCTTGGGAAAGGAGGGGGAGGCAGGATGAGTAAACAGGGGACGAGGAGAACGTGGAAGAAGAGAGGATGTAAGGAGAACGTGGAAAAAGAAAAGGAGGAGGAGCAGGAGGACGAGGGGGAGGAGGGGGAGGAGGGGGAGGAGGAGGACGAGGAGGGGGAGGATGGGGAGGATGATGATGATGGACGACAATGGGAGGACGATGATGGAGGCCGATGAGGGGGAGGACGACAATGGGAGGACCATGATGAAAAGACGAGGGGGGGAGAGGGAGGACGAGGAAGAAGAGGAGGAGGAGGAGGACGAGGTGGAGGAGGAGGATGACGATGACGATGAGGACGAGGAAGAGGAGGAGGAGAAGGAGGAGGAAGAGGAGGAGGAGGAGGTGGAGGAGAGCGCCATCGACAAGGAAGGTGGGGGCCACGAGGTCCGCCGGCTCGACGACGCCCGCGTCGCCCGCGCCCGCCCCCTCACTCTTATCCGCAATTGCGGGGTGCTACGATAAAAATGTATGGGGAACACCGGAATTCTCGGGAATCCTGGAACGTGTCAATATGATGACCTCGTGCCCATCCGCCCATCTAGTCCCGGCGGCGAGCGAGAGTGGGACATGAGAAGGAGAAAGCCTTCCCAGAAGGCGGCGGGGCCTCTCAGAAGCGTCCCGGCCTTCCGAGGAGACTTCGGTGTCTCCTGGGAAGGAGGCTTGGAACACTTCTCGGAACGCCGGGGGACTCCCGAGCCCTCTGAGCAGGCCCGCCGCCTCTCGCTCCCGCCCGCGCTCGCCGCCGACCTGTACCCGGGCCCCATCGGCTGCCGAGCCTGGTCGAGCCGCCTCTGCAGGTAGCTCGGGTCCCGGACCTCGCCCGCGCGCGCACCCGCGTCGACGGTCGCTGGTCCTGGAGGAAGCAGCAGCGGTTCACTGGCGGCGATCAAGGGGGGAAGCGAGGAGGAGAAGGCCTTCTCAGGAGGCGCGGAAGTCCCCCGGCCGTGTGAGAAGTTTTCTGAGCTTTCCCCGAAGACACAAAGAACAACTTCTCAGAAGGCGCGAGGGCTTCTGAGAAGTCCCGCCGCCTTCTGACAAGGCCTTCTCCTTCGAGCTTTCCTCCCTCGCTCGCCGCCGATGTTGAGCAGAAGCCTTCGGAGAGCCACGCGGATCTCTTTGCTCTGCGCAGCAAGAGCCCACTCCCCGACGCGCGGAGCGCGCCGGGGTGGCCCATCGCCCATGCGAGAAAGCAGCGCGGAGCTCCACAAGTTTGCGGTCATGACCTTCTGCCCAGCAGCTTGGCATGTCGCGGCGGCGGCCCCAGCGACTCGCTATGCACTGCGAGTGGGCGGCGTGTCTCGCCGCTCGGCGGGGCGGGAGGCTGTGAACAGCTTGGGACCTTGACGCCTGGGGCCCAGGTGGATGGCGCGTCGCGCCGAAGCGCTGTGGGCCAGGACCGGCGGCGCGACACCCTGAGCCCCGAATCTGGACCGTACGTTTATGCACTTTTCTGGGGGAAGCCAACAGTTACCGATACTGCTACATACTCCCCTGACCTCTCCCAGGGTGCGTTCTGATCAGGGCTTCAAGGCGAAGCCAGCGGTGGCGACGAGGGCCTCCCACACGAGGGAAGTGCAGAGGTAGGTGTATAGAGGGAAGCGTAGAGGTAGGGGGGTACCTTTTCCTCCTCCGACGTTTGTGCATCTGATTCCTCATTGCACCGACCATGCAGACGTGCTGCAGCGGATTTCCGCGTGGATTTCTGCGTGCATGTTTGCCCGAAGCGGCGCGTGAAAAACGAAGTGAATTTCGCGTGGATTGTTTTTAGTTTTCACTCCTGGCCAAACAGAACTCCGCACGAAATTCACCTCGAAATCCGGCACGAAATTCTCTTGGACACTCCGGGCCCATCCGATCGTTTTCCGAACGAAATCTGCTCTGCGATGTGGGCGCTATGATATTATTCCTCGAGATCCGGCGGCGGAGGGGGCGGGCGCTGGCGCGGGGTCGCCGGCGCCGGGGCCGGCGGCGCCGCCGAACTGCCGGGCACGGCCGTCCACGTGCACGGTGTACTGCGAGGGGTCCATGCGCCGGGCCTGCGGGGGCCCACAAACAAAAAAAACGCACGCGCCCGACCACGGACACGAAGTCTGCCCACCCCATGTCGGCGAGGCTGAGGAGCAACGGTAATTAGGGGTGGTCTGAAATAGGGGGATGCATCGACCTGGAATCGGCGATCCATCGCCGACAGATCGGCGATAGGCCCCCGATAAGGAAACCGCGCCTTCCTCGGCGGGGTGGGGCTATCAGACCCCTATCGGCGATCAATGGGCGATTAGGAGTCGATGCATCCCCCCCGCATGCCTATCCCCCCCTATCGTTGCTCCTGAGAGGCCAGCCTCGTGACACGAACGTTCTCGCAACCCGTATCGAAACCAACTTGGCTTCATGTACGTGCATGGTGGGCCGGTTTTTCGCCACCACTGCCATTGCTAGGAGAGGGGGGAGGAGGAGGAATAGGAGGGGGAGAATGGAGGAGGAGAAGGAGGACCTCCCCATCCTCCCTTCTCCCCCGTCCTGTCTATGGCAACGGTGGTGGAGAATTGATTGACCCATGAGTGTACGTTCAGGTCGAGCATGTCCTCCTACAGGCGGAATGTTGTCCCAAACCAAACAGCGGCCGCTGTTGGGCAGGCGGCCGTCTGTCTCAAATGGACACAGGCCGCGGCGGCGCACTCAGCGAGCCCTGTCCAAAACGAACAGGCACTGCTGTTGGGCATTGTACCCAATCTTTCCGTGCCCATTTCGTTCGTGCCGACCCATCCTTACTGTGAGTTGAGCAGGGACCGACCAGATGTGATAAAGCAAGACAGACTCCGCCAGAAATGTTCTCCAAGCAGATCTTGGAAACCACAAGAGGTTCTTAGACCATCGCTTGCTAGGGCTCTGGGCGAGCCAGGACGCTTCGCCACTGCCTCAGTGAGGGCTGACTGCACGTCCTCCCTGCGCTCGCGAGGCCTGCCGGCTGCTCTGCGTGTACTTCCCCGCGCTCTGGTAGCGGGGCCTCGGGGGCCCGCCGCCTGCGGAGGGGCTCGGCGCGCGCCCCGTCGCCGGCCCTCGGAGGCAGCTCCGGGGAGGTCTTCGCGTCGGAACGACGAGTGGGTCGGGCGTGTCCCCCTCCAGGGGGATTTTCGACGAAACAAACAGGATACCCCTCAAAATACTCCAACATGGTCAATGAATATCTTAAAAATAGTCCCCAGACTATGTTTTGACTATTTTGAATAGTCTTCCTGTGAGTGACAGGCCCGACTTGAAACGACGACGGGCCAGCCGGGAGAGGCGAAGCCAGGACGCGGTGCGATTGCAGCGCCAGGCGCTCGCAGCGCGATGCCGTGCGACTGCGGTGCACTGAAAGCGAGCCGGCGCGCTCTCCGGCGACGCCCTGGTCCTTCCAGTCCGTGGACGCGCGCTGCGGCGAGAGGTCGTTTCTCGCTTCCGTGTCTTGGTCTTTTTCTCCCGCCTCTTTGTCTTCACCCCGCCATTGCCGCAAAACGACACCGAAGCGAAAACGGCCCAGGGAATCGCCAAAACACGGTTTGGGCCGACACCTGCCAGGACGAGGAATTACCCTGCGACGTACCCAACTCATTAGCATCGAGTGGACAGAGACGTGGGCCAATATTGACAGGGACAACAACAGTGCAGGCGCGGCGATCTGTTGTGCAAACTACATGGGATGCGCGCGCGTTGCACGACTCACAGAGAGGCGATCGACATGACAAGGATTGGCGCCCCAGGCTTGAAGAAAAACGGGGGCGGGAACGACGGGCAGGAAAATGATGGAATTGTGGGGGCGGGAATCCATCGCGGCAGCAGCGGCAGCATGGAGAAGGTGACAGGGGGAATCGGGTGACGATGGAAGTGGAGGGAGGAAACAGGAGAGTACTGGCGTTTTCAGTAGCTGGCTAATCTGCGGCGAGTACCCACTATGCTGGGCCCCCAGCAGCCCTCGAACGTGGCGACAGTTTCACAGATCGCAGCTCCCCAGGGATGGCGAGGTCTAATCTGAATCTGCGGCGAGTACCCACGATGCGGGCCCCCCAGCAGCCCTCGAAAGTGGCGAAAGTTTCACAGATCGCAGCCCCCCCCAGGGATGGCGAGGTCTAATCTGAGCCTGCGGCGAGTACTCACTATACTGGCCCCCCAGCAGTCCTCGAAAGTGGCGACAGTTTCACAGATCGCAGCCCCCCAGGGATGGCGAGGTCTAATCTGAATCTGCGGCGAGTGCCCACGATGCGGGCCCCCCCAGCAGCCCTCGAAAGTGGCGACAGCTCCGCAGATCGCAGCGCCCCAGGGATGGCGAGGTCTAATCTGAATCTGCGGCGAGTGCCCACTATACTGGACCCCCAGCAGCCCTCGAAAGTGGCGAATGCTTCACAGATCACAGCCCCCCAGGGATGGCGAGGTCTAATCTGAATCTGCGGCGAGTGCCCACGATGCTGGCCACCCAGCAGCCCACGTACGTGGCGACAGTGTCACGGATCGCAGCCCCCCAAGGATGGCGAGGTCTAATCTGAATCTGCGGCGAGTGCTCACTATACTGGCCCCCCAGCAGTCCTCGAAAGTGGCGACAGTTTCACAGATCGCAGCCCCCTCGGGATGGCGAGGTCTAATCTGAGCCTGCGGCGAGTACCTACTATATTGGCCCCGCAGCAGCCCTCGAAAATGGCGACAGTTTCGCAGATCGCAGTGACCCAGGGATGGCGAGGTCAAATCTGAATCTGCGGCGAGCACCCACTATGCTGGCCCCCCCAGCAGCCCTCGAACGTGGCGACAGTTCCGCAGATCGCAGCCCCCCAGCATTCCTCGAAAGTGGCGACAGCTTCGCAGGTCGCAGTGCCCCAAGGATGGCGAGGTCTAATCTGAGTCTCCAGCGAGTACCTACTATGCTGACCCGCTAGCAGCAGCCCTCGAAAGTTTCACAGATCGCAGCCCCCCCCAGGGATGGCGAGGTCTAATCTGAGCCTGCGGCCAATACCCACTATACTGGACCCCCAGCAGCCCTCGAACGTGGCGACAGTTTCACAGATCGCAGCCCCCCAGGGATGGCGAGGTCTAATCTGAGCCTGCGGCGAGCACCTACTATACTGGCCCCCCAGCATCCCTCGAACATGGCGACAGTTTCGCAGATCGCAGCGCCCCAGGGATGGCGAGGTCTAATCCGAGTCTGCGGCGAGTGCCCACTATGCTGGCCCGCTAGCAGCAGCCCTCGAACGTGGCGACAGTTTCGCAGATCGTAGCCCCCCAGGGATGGCCAGGTAGGAGGCAAGCCTGCACGCAGGAAGCAATAGGAAGCAGCGAGGTGAGACTCAGGAGAGAAGGGAGAGGGAGGCGGGAGGATGCGACCACACTGCTTTATTCAAAACGAGAACCCAGCGCAGGAGGGTTGGGAAACAATAGGGTGGGGATACATCGGGAATCTCTAAGATTTGGAGGCTCTGGAGGATGTCTCAGGCGCCGCGGATCTGGAGTATCTGGAGGATGGCTCAGAGCGTTCCCGAAGGCTCTGGGAGCGTTCTGGAACGCTCTGGATCGGATTGTTCCTCGTCCCAGCCCCGCCCAACCAAAACACCCGATTGAGGGGCCACTGAGCGGGATGAGGCCACATGTTAAAGCCCGTGATAAAGCCATATTGCACGGGAGTGAGCGGGACTGGGCGGGAAACGCCGGATTAGAAAAGTTATTGACCACGTACATATCAGCGCCGATGCTGAATTCAACCTCCCAGGAGTTGCTTACTAATCGGTTGGTCGGCCGAAAAGCTGTGTGCAGACGCTCTGGCTTCCCAGGTGGCCGACTCCGGAGGGCAAATATCAAAACACATCGACATCTCTTGGGGCGCATTTTTCTTACCTCCGCCAGCTTCCGCTGGCGGAGCCCTCCTTGTCTTCCTTCCGCTCGCTCCCTCCAGCTTTCTTGGGCGCCCGAGTTATCCAGGGTAACTCGGGTCCGGGGTAACTCGGGCTTGGATTCCTGAAAAAGGAACCCGAGTTAGCCCTGACCCGAATTGCCCCTGATGATTCGGGGCTCTGGACGCCCGAGTTATCCGGGGTAACTCGGGTCTGGGGTAACTCGGGTTCGGATTCCCGAAAAAGGAACCCGAGTTAGCCCTGACCCGAGTTGCCCCTGATGATTCAGGGCTCTGACTTTCTGCCGAGGAAGGCATGTTGACTTGTCGACCCCTCGAAGGCGAGGCCCTGTCTGGAACGCCCCACACATGGGGAGCCCGGAGGTGGTCTGTCCGGCACTTCCGAAATTGGTGCGGAACGAAATGGCAGGATGCCCAACAGCAATGCTTGCCCCAAACCGACAGCGGCCGCGGTGAAGCAGGCGGCGACACCAACGACGACTCCTGTTCCAAATGGGCAGGCGCTGCTGCGGGTCTTCGTCCCACTTCTCTCCGTCGCAGTTCGGATATTACCGAGGGAAGCTGGAGGCCGTCTACGCTTCGGTCGGGCATGTCTCCCTACAGGCGGATTTTGGACGAAAAATAGAAATTGGTCGAACCAGACCCCCAACCACTCACAAAATATACAAAAATCGTTCCCAGACAATTTTTTTTTACTATCTTCGAATCTTCCTCGTGTAGAGGGACACGCCCGACTTAAGTCTGCGCTTCCACGAGCCCCCGTGGCCGACCCAACGACGTGGTGCATACAGTCGAGGCGTTGACCTAAGGGACCCTGAATAAGGAACGAGGTCCCTTTTTCCCATAGGTTCAACCTCGATTTCCCAAGGAAAACCTCCGGAGCACCCGAGGCAAACTTTGGAACAATCAAGGAACACCGAGCCCCTCCCCAACGAAAAGGCTTCCTTCTCCAGCGCCCCGACTGTACGTCGAGCCCCTCCCGCCTGCGATCAAGCCGCCCCCCGCCGACACGGGCGACCGCCCTGAGGCGGGGGGGTGGCAGGCGGGTGCCGCCTGGGCGCGGCTGGCGGCGCGCGCAAACGCCCCCGCCGGCCCCGGCCGCGCCGCGCCGGGCGGGGTCTCCGGGAGCCCGAGGTCGTACTCCTGGGAGGAGCGCAAGACCCCGACCCGTCGCGCCGTGAACAAATCACGACGGACATTGCTCGGGCGGCTCCTCCTCCTCCTCCTCCTCCTCCTCCTCCTCCTCCTCCTCCTCCTCCCTTCTGATCGGGCTTCTCTTGCCTCCCTCCGCCCCCCTTAGTAGGGCCCGCGGGGTCCCTCGCCTGGCCCTACTAAGGCCGTCAACAGAAACTGCTCGGGAGGAAACGCCGGTGCCGGGGAAGGAGTCTAGACCAAAAGGCCGCGCTGACGGCGTGCTTGGTCAACGGTGCGGTTGAGAATCTGGTTTTTGTGACACCGAGCTCACGAAGAACAGCAAGTAGGAAATCACGAACCACCGTTTCCTACTTTTGAGATACGCAAGCGTCTCGAGCAAAAACGACACAGCGAGTTGCAGGAAAGCACGAACCACGCGTTCCTACAATTGCTCTGGCCGCGAACCCACGCATTCCCACATCGGCGTCAGCTGACACACCGTTGGCACGTTTACGGCTAAACCTCCGCAGGTCTGCAACGCCACGACGTCGGAGGCACGCGCGCACCATCAGCGTGCACAGCCAGGGCCATCCGGGGCCCCTGCACGGTGCACGCGCCCGCCCAGCCGAGGCCCGCAGGGCCTGCGCGCATCGTGCTCCAGGGCCCAGCATGGTCCTGGCCCTGGCCAGGCTGGTGGAGCCACCACTGGGCCAGCGGTGTATACAGTGGAGGCCAGTCCACGAGAAACCTTCCACAAGAAGCCCAATACTGAGACCCCAGGACGTCCATTGACGATTCATTTGTGGTGTGGGAACGTCACGCCTTCCACAGCAAAACCATCGAAACCCAACCCAGGGCACCCTGGAGGCAAGCAGGGAAGTTCTTGGCATGGGCCTCCACAGTATGTGTCTTCTGCGGAACTCCTGCCGCTGGCGCGGAGAGATCACCACCGAGTACGCGACGTTGATTGCGGCCATCTGGCGTTCTCGCTCTCGTCGGGCGGCCTCGTCCAAGTGCGAGGCTTTGTCGGGGTGGTACTGCTTCGCCAGCGATCGGTACGCCCGGGTGACCTCGTCAGCCCCAGCGCGGCGAGGGATGCCCAGCGTGCTGTAGTGATCTGAACGAGCCTGCGCCGCCATTGCCGCGACGGCGAGAGCGGTCAGGGAACAGAGGGGAGGTGGGGAGAGAGAAGAAGGCTGCAACTAACTACCGCGCATGCCCATGAGGGTGGAAGCCATCCCGCCTTGTACCAGCATGGCTGCGGAAGAAACGGCCTCGCCTCTCCATCTCTCCCTGGAGCTGCTACTATGCCACCCGATCGCCGGCCGCGGCAGTCGGTTCGGATCCTATGCAAGACGAGGGCCAGGCTGTGAGCGCCACAGCGGCTGAGACTGGCCTCTGTTCGTGCGCAGAGCAAACGATGGGGGCCTCGTTAGTAATGGAGCTCGAGGCGCGCGTCGCGCCGTGACCCTGCGATGCCTATCTCGCATGCACGAATCCCGGGGGCGACAGTGACCGCTGGGCCGATGTGCAATGCGTGAACTGCGCAACCCGATAGTTGCCGCCGCACGGCTTTCTAATGATGCTTGCCTTGCCCCTGCATTTCTGACTGCGCCTCTGCTTTATCATGGCTTCTCTCTGGCCCCTCCCGTGAAGACCAAACCCGCTCCTCACCAGCTTGAATCCGTCGGTAGAAGCTTGCCCCTTAGCTCATGAGGGGTGATACACGCTTGCGCACTGTGCAAGAATTCTGCCTCGGAGCGCCAGTTCTTACCGAGGCCTGCAATCAACATGGACTTGGCACCATAGGGGGCCACGAAACTGCAGATGGAAATAGGTTAATCAACTACAGCAGCCGATTGGGGTTCACTATTCCGGTCCCGATGTTTCTGGTGATGTCCTGGCTGAACGTGCGTGCCATTCTGGCGAAGCGGAACATGACTGAAGCAAAGAAGATCCGTCCCACGAGACCACAGAACACACCGCTCGATTGCTGCGCTGGAAAACGAGCGACGAACACACCAACTGGCAACACCAATCTACATCGAATCGTGGAACCGTATCGAATCGGCATGTGCGTCAGATCCGGCTGCGTCGGCACGGAACCGGAATCGAATCGGACTGGCCGCTGCAAAATTCTCGACAACGCAATGCACGCATCGGCCCGCCGCGGATCGTCGCAGTGCCGGAGCCGAATCGGACCGAGCCGACCAGACACGAGACCGAATCGGATCGGAAATGACCACCAGTGGTGCTCGCACCGCGGCATGCGGCGAAACTCCTCATCCCCACAGCTCCGGCGCCGCGGGGTAAAAAAAAGCGTCGAAAGACCACAACGAGAGCCCTGAAAAACTCCACCTTTCTGCTGCGTGCTTCTCGTGCCGTAACGATCTGTGTTAGGCCATTGCAGCGCGCGCGGATCGCAGGGCCAAACCTAGACGCATGGGCGGCAGGAGGAGCGCGTTTCTTCATGTTCGGCGATAGTGCGCATTTATGGGCGGGAGAGGGGGCCGGCCCGGGGGGGGGAGGGTAGGATGTAACGCCTCCCCCCCGCCGCGTGCCCGAGGCGCACGGCGGGAGTGCCCATGGCGCACTGGGGGGGGGGGAGGGGCGTTACGTTATAGGGGGGGGGAAAGTGGGGCGAAGGGGGCTATAATGCTCACTA